GTTGAATGAGAGTTCCATAAAACATTATGATTCCAAAAACTTTGGTGCAACAAAGTGTAAACCATATGTTTTTTGTACCTATTGAGTAACTGTTTCGAAATGTTACTAAAATGTTGACGAACCAAGATGTGTTGAAGAACTTATTTGCAATCCATTCAAAGTGTTTTTTATGTTACTTCATACGCGAAGTTAACGATTTTCAGAGTTGGTTGGAAATGCTAACATGAAGCTTTAGTGTGATGATTTATTAGCTAGAGAATGATCTTTAGAAGAATGTAGGTGGATAGTTCCGTTAGAGTACGGCAGTATGAAAATTGAATAGAAGTTGAAAATGAGCGAAGAGCCATTAAAGCGAAGGGCCATTTATTGCAATCTTGTTCCAATTAAGCGTATGAATCTATAAGCTTTCAAACTTCGTTTTGCAACCAACTGAATTAAGTTGTCACTGTAGAGGTTTGTTGTTACCATCTAGTATCTACCATGGCTCAAATATGTCTTGTCACTTTGATGTTGTAAAATATGTTTGGATAACATTGGCAAAAGCGGAGAAATCGTGATGCATGTGCTAATATCTGCATAGGAAATGGAAGACCACGACGAGGACGATAGGATTACGGATGGCGGGGGACGATGGTGACTAAAGACGATGCCAACAGCGACTGGCATGGCCGTAGTCTCTCAACCGACCGGGTGTTCCAAAGGGCTAAATAGAACGGTGAGAAGCCTGAAGTGACGATGGATTGGTTGTTGCGTGAGCTGGGGGCAGCAAATATGTTGATACCGCCGAACGGAGATGCGGCCGTTGAGGATCCGTTAGAGACGGAGCTTGTATTGCCGGAACTGCTGGTGAACTGGAAACGGCACCACGGCGGGTGGATTGCCAGAACTAGTGGCTCATAATGCCGAAACCTGATGGCTGCTGACGGAGGAGCTGCACCAATGTCGCTACCACTCGATGTCACATTGCTACTGACAAGTGACGTTTTTTTTTTTCCTTTGTTCGGAACATAACACCACTGCGACCAGTAATTTGATCTATTGTAGTATATCCCGTGTCCTTAGTTTAGTGCATGTCGTATTACTCCACCACTATTGAGAAATGATGAAGTACTCGGTTTTGATACAGTTGTCATTCTTGCCTTCATCGCAAGGAATCGATTCTAACTGAAAGGTTCCGCTATTTATACCCTTCGGAGTTGGAACACCCTCCAAAGGCGCGTCCCTTTGTCAGTCAAAATTGGATTCCTTAACAACAAAAACAAGCTATGACACCGATAATGACCATGCATCAGAACCCTAGTCTTAACCACTTCAAACTAGGGAACAACGATTAGAAGATTAGGAATCACATAGGTGAAGACTAACTAACTAATTTTTTCCTTGTTTCAAGATCATCCTCGGTCCAGGCAACCCGAGGACTTATCACTATCAACAAGGCATAAAAAGTAACAAGGACTAAGATGTGTTCCTTTGATTACTGAAAAATCCTGTTCCCCTAGTTTGAAGAAGTCAGGACTAGGAATCGGTGGTAGATCTTACATCCCGTAACGTACCACGAAAAGGTGATCTACCCACGTTACGGGGTTGACGTTTAAACCACCTTCTGCGCTTTTTAAGGTACAATGAAGTTTTATATGCGGTGCGTTGTCCACAATTTAGACCGTCTATTAGTCACACTAAGGTTGTTGTTACTGGCTGAGAAACAAATGGTGTTGCTTGGGATTTGTGCTCATTACGGAAAACAAGATCTACGGAAAACAAATAAAGGAAAAAAAAAGAAAATCAAGGATCAGGATAATTTTCCAGGGAAGGTTATAAAGAAACTTCCGAGGATTGCCTGAAGAATCTTTCATTGTAAATGATAGCGTGAAACTAAGTCAAACTTCAATAAAATCACTTTGAATAGTCAACCTCTTGTGACAAAGTTGGTAGATAGCAGATAAAGCTTCGCTATAAAAGTTGTTACAGCAGTTTTCGTCGTTTCAGTCTCATGATCAAGGTTGCAAAGACTCATTTCAGCTAAAATAATGTTTTTCGGAATAATAAAACCAAAAGATGGTATGATGGCATGTTTTACTTGTAACTTACAAGAAGAGGTTACAAAATATGCGTTGGAAACATAAAACCTGTAAATTTTGCTTTCTATGAGTCACAATCAGCGATTTGCTGATCGCTGAGTGAGTGAGTGAGTTTGTGAAAAATCGCTGACTGTGACTCTCATGAAGTGAAATAAACAGGTTTAATATGTCAAACACATTCTTTGCAACCTCTTCTTGTATCCTACCAATTCAAAATTTGATCATGGCATCTAATTATTTAATAATTTAGAAAAACATTGTTTTAGCTGAAATGAGTCTTTGCAACCTTGCTCATGATACAAATATTATAAGCCGTAGGTCATTAAACATAAAATTAACATGAAGCACCTCTTAACCGATTTTTCTGAAAATTTTCACAGAAGTTCAAATTAACATGACAAACAGGAATCACGATTGACCCGGTGCATCCTGAACATTTCTGTTAAAATGAACAGGTTTAGTGTATACTTTTGTCCACAGAGTGAAAACCCAGATCGGGAAAGGAAAAGTGTATAATATTAAAAGTTTTCTAAGACGGCGAAAAAATTACACTGTTAATTTTTTTTTTGTATTGAACGGTTTTTGGTAAAACTTACATTGTAAGTCTTACAATATGAAAGAACTGTGTCATAACTATTTATGAGCTTCATTGCAGCATAGTTGGTTCAATGTACACTGGATTATTTTATTAGCCTATAGCTTTGATCGTGCACTCCCAATTTTACACCTAATTTAATGCAACTTGTTGCAAGACATCAAAAAAAAATAAAAAAAAAATAAAACTACAAAGGACAGCCCTATGGGGTTGTACACAATATTGACGTAGGACTACGTGGTCTTATATAATATATGTTATTTGTTAACTGCAACAGAAGCTTGTGTTGTGTGTAGGAAATGGAATTTGATCGGGGTTCTCTCTGTTTATACCTTTTAGTATGACTATGATTGCCCTGACAATAACCTTTTGATATGGATTTTAGCTGAGACATGTCAAGAAATTTAACTCTTTTGGAAAATCTTGGTGGCCTTGAAAAGGGCCGATGGTAGCCTTTTGAAGAGAATGATGACGTGCAGGTAGCTGGAGCAGCAAATTTTACCGGAAAATCCCATATTCTTCGGTTCAATGATTCGGCACTCGCAAGAGTCTAGGCCCGTCTGCTGCTGGACAAGGGTTGAACTGGTATCTGCAACAGGTTGGAAGGGATCATAATATCCGTATCCACCCAGCTAAAGCTCCTCCCCTTTTTAGTTTTTCTCGTTAAACTCCTTCTCTCAACAGTTTGGTAAATCTTAGTCACAAGCAGAAAGACGCTTAACAATTTTTTCGGCGAATTTATGATCCCGTTTCACGTCAGGGTTCTTCTCTATGCCTGTTCAGATAAATTAGTACTTTTATTTATTTTCTCTACTGCGCTAAATCAAACGAGTAGAAATGAGAATGTTAGTTACGCATAATTCAAAATTCGATAAATATTTAATCGAGTAGCTGGAAAAATCTTTATGATTGATTGTTGATAAAATAATTGGACTTTTAGGCATCCCTAGAAAATGGTGCAAGTTCATGTTTTTTTGTGGTCCTTCGAAAATGTCGAACTGCAGAATTGCAACCAGCAAGTGTAACCCAAGAACCATTAGCTGTGCTGCTACTGAATTAAGGGACTTAGAAGCAGAGGGGTGAGGGTTAATTCTCTTCATCGATTTCCTCTTTTGATGACCATGGCTTCACTAACCTATTGCGCACTATTTCTGCTCCCAAGTTTGGTGACAAGATTACAACTCTGGAGAGCATTTTGTGTGGTCGTTGGGGGCTTGTGATTCAAAATATGGCAATAACTGTGCAAAACGTTACACTTTTTCAATAGTTTTTTGTTAAAAATCAAAGCCTAAAGCATTGTTATCGATGCGTAGAAATATTTCTGATTGATTGGTGCTAAAGTTATTGAAATTGGTCCAGAGGCAGCTGAGTTATTAACTTTCAATATCTTTCCAAATTTCGTTGCATGTTCCATTTTTGGTTTTCACAAAGTGTACCCCCATATAGAATTCACAGACGTAGTCCTACGTCAAAAATAAATCAATTGGTATTGAAAATACTGTACCTATCCTTCATGAGAGCAAAATCTAACAAACAGAATTGAATGTACTTCAGGACAGGAAAAATAAACGGTAAAAATGCTGAATCATCCTACAGATCCAACCAATCACGCTCAAATATGTACCAATAAATGTCGAATACTTGATCAAGCAACAGCTAAGATATTAAAATTTCATGGAAATCCGTAAAAAATTACTGCTTTTTATACTTTTCGGCAGAAAAAAAAACAAATCTCGATGCTGTAATGTCCGGTATTGTATCTTGTCTGAAATGAAACTGATTTGAAATAATTTGGCGTGATCAGAGATTTTTGCCGCCGAAAATTATAGCGGCGCCGACTAGAATTGAACCTAGACCATTTAGAGTGAGAGGTAATCACGATTACTACTACACCACCGGCGCCGCTAATTTGGTTCATTGTACGTCTAGAAATAGAAGATAAATTAGAGTTCTAAAAAAGAAGTGTTTTACTGCAATAACTCCTAGCTCATACAGATGCACCCACTCAAGTCCATAGCGACGCCGATAAATCATGATGATTTCATCTTCCAGCAGCCAAGATTTCAGAATTAAGAATCAAAAAAGTGCCTGTGCGGCTTTCCAAATATTAAAGGCAATCAGCTGTATTAGCCATGTTTTGATACACTGTGTGTTCAAGCATTGATTGAGTATTATTATAAGAAACACAAAGCAGCGAATGTTTCCTCGACAAGATAAATCATCTATACCAATCATTTTCAACATGAATGACGCCTATTCCCCAATCAACCATGCCACAGCCATTATCTAATGACTTCCTTTACCGTCCTCCTTTCTCGTCGTTTCAGATTAGCCTCCCAAATAACAAACTCATCACATCCCGAAGCAGAAGCAACAGACCCACACATATTAAGCTCACAATAACTACAAATCATCGTCGCCACCGTTGCCAGTTCGGAGGGGATCCTGCTAGTGGAAGTAAACCGTCTTTGTCCAATCATCTCGAATTTTTTATCGATTTGGTTGTAAATCTGAGCCGAGGCGGAAAACCGTTGCAGAAAATCATCGGAAAAAGGGTCAGCTCCTCTAAGCAAAGTAAAAAAAAAACTCCATCGGATTGAATCCAAAACCGATGACGCAGAGGGGGGTTTAAATCGATACGGTGGTGATCCTCTGCGTGGAGATTCCTTTCGGTTTTGACGAGAAAAGTTATTCATCAAGGAGGGTTTAAAAACGAAAAAAAAAATCCAATCTGCGGAAGGAAGCAGTTTCGTATTGTGGCGGTGAATCGAGCCGAAAAATTGGAAAATAGTCATCTGGGAAGGTTTGGTTGAGGGAATGTGAGTGGGCAAAAGTGAGTAGGATGACCGAAGAAATGTTAAAATATGAAAGTGAAGGATATGTGCTTAGTGTTTTGCGAAAATAGACTCATCTTGAGCAGATTCAAAGGAAGTGATCAATGGCATTCTTAAGAAAGCATCAAAGACTTGTGGTAAGTTAATTTCTGTGTTATTTAATAAACTTTCGGTAAGCTTCATATTTGTATAGAAAATCCCACGGACTTCCCACATGCCTCATATCATCAAATCAATTCCCTTGTGATGTTTCTAGGTCGCCCTACTCTTTCGAATTATCAACGAGCTCTCATCGAAAAGATCATATATAGCATCCGTAATCAGATGGTCGTGCTTCAGCTCGACACGTCTGAACTAGATCGTGACGTTCTCTGCACTGCCTGATACGGTTCCAGATTACCCATCACATCTTCACTGAAACGTCTCTTACAGCATCACCCTTCAAGAGCAAGCGCCAAGAACGCTTAGCAAAAACACCATCAAGCTCCCATAAATTCCAATACGATGGCACAGCAGTTGCTCTCCTCAAGCCATCCGGCGCTATCCAGCTCAGTCAGTCGCTTTATCTGCCGTTCCTCGCATAACTAACAATATTCCGCATGTTATACATTATGAATGCGAAATAATTCAAGGACCAAGCTGGCAGGCAGGCAGGCACGCAGACAAATGTAGTTATTTTACTCTGGAGAGCGGGGCCTCGATTTTTCTTACCGAGTTGCAACGACAAAGAAAGTTCAGATTGAATCCTGAGGAAAATGGCACATCTTTATTCCATGTCGTCTATATGGCCTCATTCACGTTACTACGGCGGCTGTTTGGGTTTGGGATGGCGGATCTGAAAATGGCATATGGGGATATGTGCGTAGCTACTCGATGTGAGTGTGCAGTTGATGGCATCGATGATTTTTTTTCTTCATCGAAAAAAACTACAATGTACATACTACTCAAATCTGAGTGCCGTCTATGGTTTCTAGGCCATCACCGATGGAATCCATTAAAGCTACCAGCGTAATCCAGTACATTTGGTGTGTTGTTGATGGTCATGCCGAAAGTGTTACTCCACAATATGCAGTACATATACTGTGGAATCGAAAACCTTGATCGCTGAGAATTAATATGAATTTCATCACATTTCGATTAAACGATACATTAAAATGATTTAAAAACTTCTTCTTGTTTGGCCTCACAGTAATGACCCGATTCTATAACTGCACATCTCATTCATCTTCAAGATGGATGTTGAAAGAATACTTTGGTGCCATAAGACCACTGAAGAGCGCAAGCGTGTCATAGAACATAATGAAAGATTTTCAAAAAGGGGGCTGACAAAATCGGGTCACTACTGTATTACGTCCTTACTAGGACTTTACGCCGGCTCTCAACTTAGTGTTCTTTGAGCACTTTCACCTTTGTTAATTGAGAGTTTCTTAGCCTGTACCATTTCAACGTTAGTATTCAGCCATTCCATAGCAAAACGATATCAAGAGCAAATTTCCATTACGTCGAATGTAACAAAGGTAAACAAAGTCGAGCTATCAGTGTCAATCGATTCTCCTGCTATTACACTATATACTGTCCGAATATAGGATCAAATCCCATTTTTAAATTTATTTGCCAGCCAAATTGCTTTTTGACGTAATCACCTTCCGATCAAAATAGTTTTCGATGTTACTTAAGTCACCCAATTTCTATGGAGATGCCGTTTGACTTAAGTAACAGCGCTGAGAAACCCGTGAAAAGTGTACGTTCGTCGTTTCGCTTTCTCATTATTAAAGTGAATAAATCGAACTGTTTGTTGCTAAGATGATTTCGGTGGTCCTAAAATGATGAATGGGCTGCACGTAAGGAGACGTAATTGATAATTCACCCGAATATCCTGGTAAATACACTTTGACTTAAGTAACAATAGGGGCCACCAAACGACGTATAATAACTTTTGACTCAAAAACCAGTATTTTTTAGCATGAAAGCTAGCGATTTGCATTTGTATGATTAAAACCCTGCTAAATATGTTAAACATTGCTATCACTATGAGATTATATGTGTTTACTTGGAAATAGGAATAACTTTTCGGTCATCAAAACAAAACTTTATTTTTCTCGGATTGGTGCGAATGTTACTTACGACATAATGAAAATTTGCTCTTGATATAGTGGTTCACAGAATTTTGAAAAAATTGATACTTTGACTATATTTTTAGCATTACTTCTGCGTGTAGTCAACGATTTACATAGGTGAAGTTGCTAATTTCAAATAACAGACTAAAGTGGTAATTTTTATACGATAGATGGAGGAGATGAAAGTCTTGAGTTGATAGTTCTGTTAGAGTACGGCAGTGTGAAAATTGCATATAGAAAGTAGATAGCGAGCTAGGACAACTTTTAAGGAAGGTACAAATCGGTTTTTTCATCTCTCTTTACCAAACTCCCCCTTTGGAGAGGGATGGTGAGGGGTGTCCCCCCGCCACCACTGGCAAAAAGAGATGAACGCCGACCCGCTCAAGTACCAACGATGTGTTTGAAACAGTTCTATCGATTTTTACCGCACTTCAGTTGTTATTTGAAGGAAGGCATTCAGTCTTAGGTTTGGAAATTACAGCTATTGTTTACCCCTACCACGATATGTGCTCCTGTCATCGTCGACTTGACGATCTCGAGGGGACGCGGGTGGGGTAGGTGCTACTACTATCTATCTACTTTCTTTATGCAATTTTCACACTGCCGTACTCTAACGGAACTATCAACTCTAGACTTTCATTTCCTCCATCTATCGTATAAAAATGACCACTTTAGTCTGTTATTTGAAATTAATAATTGATAATTTTGTTCCTTATCGTAAAATATTAGACCCACATTCTTTTATTGTGTCATTATAGTGACCATTTCCATGTTAGGGTGGTCAAAAAAATCGATTTTTTTTTTCAAAAATGTACAACTACTGTGCCGATTTAAAAGATCCAAATATCAAAACACAGGTAATTAAAAATACTTATTAGAAAAAAAAAACACATAATGATATGAATAAATTGGGATTCTGTATTGAAAAAACATACAAAGGACAGCCCAATGGGGTGTCCGCAATGCACACTGCGCCAGAAATGCAATCTAGTTGTAAGAAAAAGTTGTTTATCTTGATAAAATAAACAACTCTTCTGAAGAAGTCAAAACTCTACAGCCTACTGTTTTCAAAGTCGTCAAGTCATCAAAACGCCATTTCAATGCAGTAGAATAAGTTATAGAAAAAATACATGCTCCACTAATATGATGAAATCTCATAAAAACCAAAATATACCTCTCTCAAATTTTGATGTTTTGTTTATCGAATATTGCTTAATTTAGCTGAAAATGTCAGGTTGCGATTTTTCGCGCTTTGGGAGTTATTAAAGTTCAAAAATTGTTGTTGTTAGCTGTAACGATGAGCAACGCGATGAGCGAGCAATTAGCGATCATAAAATCGCTAGTTGTGACCTTCTGAAAGCAAAATTGACAAATTTGATATATCATATACAATCTTTACCACCTCTTGTTGCATCTTACAAATAAAAATTATCATTATAGTATCCCATTGTTTCATAATAACGAAAAATAGCATTTTAGCTGTAATGAGCAATTGCAAGCCTGATTTTTTTTAACTCCATGTAACTCGGAACCAGTAGGCTGTGGAATTGTTAAGTCTTCAAAAGAGTTGTTTATTTTGTCAAAGCAAACAACTTTGCCCATCAAGTCTCCAAAACGTCAGAGAAAGAAGTTAGATTGTGGCGCCATCTTTGCGGAAGAGTTTTGAACTTTTTGTTTATGTCAATAGATGGTCCTTATTGTGATTATTATTATTTAGCTTTATTAAGGAGGCTTTCAGCCTTGGGCTGGTTCGCCTCCACTGATTGTGATGAGAAACTTTACATAAGACACCAAGCCGCGGAAATGCTTCGTTTCAGAGTTATTAATTTTGCTCCGCTAGATTGCATTTCTGGCCCAGTGTGCAATAGTGACGTAGGACTACGTGGTTTTATATAATAAATCTTATTTGTTCACTGCAGCAGCAGCTTGTGTGTTGTGTAGTAATAGGAATGTGAGTGGGGTTATCTCTGTTTATACTCTTTAGCATGACGCACTTTATGGCCCACAGCGACTCACGAAGAGCTACTGATTCCGATCGATAGCGGTGCGGCTTCTTCCTCCTTCTATGGATGCTCACGTGGACTGCAGCTCGCTGCTTGCAGGCAGCCTTTCGTTGTGTACTGGAGAGCAGTGTTCAACGCCACGCGCCAAAAGTACTGCTGCTGCTGAATCCGACCAGCGGTTGAGGCCAGCCTTGATAGCTAGCTGCTTGCGGGGAGCCTTTAGTTGTGTACTGGAGAACACTACCACTCATGACGCGGTGATTGAATAAACATCGTTTGGTAAGACCGGATGGAATTCAACTTTGAAATCTGAGACAGGGAACTCACTTTGCGCTGCAACAGTTGCGCAATTATCATAGCAACAGTTGCACATTCGTGCAATTTTCAATAGTGACATTTTGAAAAATGATAAAGTCTTAAGTTTAGCAGATGCGTAGAAATATTTCTGATCGTTTTATGATAAAATTATTGAGATTGGTCCAGGGTGAGTTATTAACGTTCAAAATCTTTCATAATTTTGTTACATGTTCCATTTTCACTTTTCACAAAGTGTAACCCATATAGAAATCACAGACGTTGTCCTACGTCAAAACATTAATTAATTATTTTTTATAGTTTTCATGGTTTGTAGACAGAGGGCTCCATATGTTTTTATATTTTTCCTTGAAAATTTAGGCTTTTTGACACAACGTGTCGAAAAATCAACGATGTGTTTTTTTTCCCGTTTTTGAGCTATATTTTTTTGAATTTATCAAGTTTTAGATTATCGCAGATTGCCACTAAAAATCTTGGGAATCCTATGAGTATATTCAGTGAAGTGTTTTGATCAGAATATATAGAGAAATTACTGTGTGAATTTGTGTTGCCGAAAACAGCCAATGGGTGCCGAAGCCGACATTAACTCTATTTAAAAAAAATGCACCATACACAAAAGTTTTGATTGACCTTCAATTATCAAGAGAGTTCACCTTAGTAAATTCTCGACTTTAAAGGAGACAAATAACATCATCAATT